AAAAAAAAAAAAAAAAAAAAGTGTGACTAATCTTAGAAACAATTCTCTGCCTCTCTTCCTCCTTCTCATCCCAAGAATGAGCCACAGAGACCGGTTTCCCCCATTCCTGTCTCCCTAAACGCCTGTCCCTCTCTCCCTGCCTGCCTGCAGCCACCTGTTTTTCATGAAGACTTCCGCGGGCTTCCAGGATGGACACATCTGGTATTCCGTCTTCAGCCGCTGTGCTCGCAGCAGCTTCACCCGCGTCCAGAGGGTGTCCTGCTGCTTCTCCCTGCTGCTGTGCACCATGCTGACCAGCATCATGTTCTGGGGGGTCCCCAAGGACCCGGCTGAGCAAAAGATGGACTTGGGTAATTCCCAGTGTCACGGAGGTCAGGGCTAGTGGCTGGTGGACCTGAGCCTTCACTGCTCCAGCAATGCCACTGCCATTCCAGAGTCCCCAAGACCACCCTCCAGTTCAGTGATCCACTAGCAGGACTCACAGAACCCATCGTCCTTATAGTTATGGTTTACTGGACAGGCAGCGAAAGGATACAGCTGGGTGCAATAGCTCTCGCCTGTAATCCCAGCACTCTGGGAGGCCAAGGCAGGTGAATCAGCTGAGGTCAGGAGTTTGAGACCAGCCTGGCCAACATGGTGAAACCCCGTCTCCACTAAAAATACAAAATTAGCCAGGTGTGGTGGTGCACACCTGTGGTTCCAGCTGTTCAGGAGGCCGAGGCAGGAAAATCACTTAAACCTGGGAGGCAGAGATTGCAGTGAGCTGAGATCTCGCCATTGCACTCCAGCCTTGGCAAAGAAATGCAAAACTCTATCTCAAAAACAAAACAAAACAAACAAACAAACAAAAAAGCACAGAAAGGATACAGATTAAAACCAGCAAAGGGAAGGGACACATGGAACAGGGGCCAGGAGAGACCAGGCAAAGAACTTCCAGCATCCTCTCCCAGTGGTGTTGTGGATGGTGCTGACTTCTTCTGACGATGTGTGACAGTGCACATGGAGTATTGCCAACCAGGGGGACTCACTCCAGCCTTGCGATTCAGAATTTGTTTTTTTTTTGAGAGAGAGTTTTGCTCTTGTCATCCAAGCTGGAATGCAGTGGTACAATCTCGGCTCACTGCAACCTCCGCCTCCCGAGTTCAAGCAATTCTCCTGCCTCAGCCTCCCGAGTAGCTGGGATTACAGGAGCCCACCACCATGCCCAGCTAATTTTTTTTTTTTTTTAAGACGGAGTCTCGCTCTGCCGCCTGGGCTGGAGTGCAGTGGCCGGATCTCAGCTTACTGCAAGCTCCGCCTCCCAGGTTTACGCCATTCTCTTGCCTCAGCCTCCCGAGTAGCTGGGACTACAGGCGCCCGCAACCTCGCCCGGGTATTTTTTTGTATTTTTTAGTAGAGACGGGGTTTCACTGTGTTAGCCAGGATGGTCTCGATCTCCTGACCTAGTGATCCGCCCATCTCGGCCTCCCAAAGTGCTGGGATTACAGGCTTGAGCCACCGCGCCTGGCCAATTTTTGTATTTTTAATAGAGACGGGGTTTCACCATGTTGGCCAGGCTGGTCTCAAACTCCTGCCCTCAGTTAATCCACCCACCCCGGACTCCCAAAGTGCTGGGATTACAGGCATGAGCCGCCATGCCCAGCCACCATTCGGAACTTTTACTGGGGCTCCAACATATAGGCATGACTGACACCCACATGGCTGGCCTCTACCTCCAGCCCCTCTAGAGGTCAAGCTGACACCATATGGTCTAGGCCCCCACCATAAATCTCATCATTAGTACAAACCATCCGGTGTGTCCCAAGACCCCAGGGAAACAAAGACATTCTTAGCAGTCAGGACCTTCCAAGGGCTGAGCGGTGACCTCCCTGGCGTTGGGCAGAGTTAACCCTTCAGAGCACAGCCACCTTCCACAAAGGGCAGATGGGACTGGGCTCTGGGTGGTGGCCTCTCCCTTTGACCTGTTCCTTCCCTTTCCCCAGGTAAAATTGAATTCACCTGGCAGGAGGTGATGATTGGCCTGGAGAGCTCTATCCTCATGTTCCCCATCAACCTCCTGATTGTTCAGATCTTTCGGAACGCCCGTCCCCGGGTCACTAAGGAGCAGAACACTGAGAAACGGGACCAGGGGTCCCCCAAACTGACTCCCTCCCCACAGCCCATGGAGGACGGCCTTCTGACACCTGAAACAGTGACCAAGGCAGGTCCTCAACCTCAGCTAGTGTGGGGAGTGCTCTAGCCTCAGCGGAAGTCGGGGTGAGGCCTGGGGCTTGAGGCCCAGCAGCCCTGTGTTGCCCGGCAGCATGAGATGCCAAAATTCATCAACTGAAAACACACATACACATGCAACATGCATGCACCCATGCATCTGTACACACATGCACACACACACAGGTGCACATATGCATACATGCACACACACACACAGGTGCACATATGCATACATGCACACACACACAGAGACACACAGACACGTACATACACATGTGCACACACACATACACACACACACTTTTTGAGTATCTACTATGTGCAAAGAATTATGCCTTCATGGTAGACTCCCAGGCTGGAAGCCCATGGACAGAACTCCCCGCTCTGCATCATGCATTCAATAAGCTTTCATTGAGCACCTACTGTCTGCCCTGCTTTGGAGTACAGCCTGGAATGAGTTCAAACCGTAGAAGAGGGATTTAAGAGCTGACAAATGGAAGCTCACGGAGGTCACTCTCACATCTCAATGGGCAAAGCAGGGCTCCCTACACAGGTTGCCAGGCCCAGGGCGTGTGCTCTTGACTCCTGTGCTGCACCCCTCACCTTGGCTCGTGGCCCCTTTCCCCACCAGGATGTGTCAAGGATTGTCAGCTCCCTCTTCAAAGCCCTCAAGCTGCCATCCCCCTCCTCGGGCTGGGACTCAGTGAACTTGATGGACATCAACAGTCTCCTGGCCTTGGTGGAAGATGTCATCTGTCCACAGAACACATCAGGGCAGGTGTTCTGGGAGGAAGCCAAAATGAGAGAGGACCCCGTAACACTCACTGTGGGGTCATCACAAATGAAAGGTAAGCCCTGGACATGTCTGTGCCAAGAGAAGCCGCATTTTAGAGCTGGGTAGAGACACAGCAAAGGGGCCACTAGCCAGTTGTGTGGCCATGGACAGGTGACCCCCGTTCTTGACACCTCAGTGCCGCCTTCTGTAGAGTGCTGGGGTGCAAAGCTGAAC